GCCTCCAGCTCCTGCAGCTCCACTCCTAAGGCGTGTGCGCTGAGCAAACCACTCGCGCAGCTGCTGCGGTGAGAGAGGCTCCCGCTGGGGAGACAGTCGTGGCGAGGCACCCGCAGGACCTCGAGAAGACGCAGTACCCCTAGGCTCAGCACCCCCAGACTCCGCACCCTCATACTCAGCACCCCCAGGCTGCACACCCTCAAGCTTAGTAACCCCAGGCTCCGCACCCCCAGGCTCAGCACCCCCAGACTCCGCACCCTCAGACTCAGCACCCCCAGGCTCCGCACCCTCAGGCTCAGCACCCCCAGGCTCCGTACTCGCAGGCTCAGCACCCCCAGACGAAGCACCTCTAGTAGCACCTGACTCTACAGCAACTTCGACAGGCACAATCCCGGGGAGTGGGTCTACCTGAGACACACCTGAGGGAGCAGGACCCTGAGGGGGGAGGGAGTCTACCAGAGGGGGACCTGGAGTAAGAAAGAGCGGCCGGGGTTGGAGAGGGGCAGAGCGGTAGGGGAAGAGACGGTAAAAGGGAACCGACTCATCAAACGTGACGTCCTGAGAGGGGAGGACACGGCGCGAGGTGGGGTGGTAAAACTGCCAGCCAGGCGCGTCTGGGGGGAAGCCAAGGAAGACACAGGGAATAGCGCGGGAGCAGAGCTTGCCCGCGGACGTATCGCGAACAAAGGCACGAGAGCCCCAGACCCGGAACACCGACACATCGCCAACCTTCCCCGTCCAACGCAGTGTAGGCGAGGTCTCCGGCAAGGAGACACGGGGCCAGAGGTTGAGCTGATGCGCAGCGTACCGGACCGCAAACGGCCACAGAAAATGGGGAGCAGCCGCATGGATCATGGAGGTACGAGCCACCTCCATGACTAAGCCAATGCGGCGCTCATCAATCCCATCAAACGTGACATCCTGAGAGGGGAGGACACGGCGCGAGGTGGGGTGGTAAAATTGCCAGCCAGGCGCGTCTGGGGGAAAGCCAAGGAAGACACAGGGAATAGCGCGGGAGCAGAGCTTGCCCGCGGACGTATCGCGAACAAAGGCACGAGAGCCCCAGACCCGGAACACCGACACATCGCCAACCTTCCCCGTCCAACGCAGTGTAGGCGAGGTCTCCGGCAAGGAGACACGGGGCCAGAGGTTGAGCTGATGCGCAGCGTACCGGACCGCAAATGGCCACAGAAAATGGGGAGCAGCCGCATGGATCATGGAGGTACGAGCCACCTCCATGACTAAGCCAATGCGGCGCTCATCAATCCCATTTAGCTACGGGGAGGCCGGAAGCGTGAACAACTGGAGGATGCCCTCCCCACGACAAAAGTCCCGCAAGAAGTCGGAGGAGAACTCACCACCTCAGTCAGAGTGCAGACGCTGGACAGGAAGGTTCTGGCGGATCCGCTCGCGGAGCTAGAGACAGACTGCGCGGATCCAAGGGATCAAGACATCAGGGACCTCACCCTTGCTGTGCAAGGGGAAGACCGTGGTGTAACGCGTGTAGTCGTCAACAACCAGCATAAAGTAGCGCTCGCGGCTCTGTCCGCTGACGCGGAGTGGGCCCCACATGTCCATGTGGAGAGTCTGCAAGGGAGCAGTCGTTGGGGAAATCGAGGAGGAGTGAGGAGCGGCGCGCTGCCACCCCTCGACGTAAGGAAGGCAGGGCGGTGCATGTAAGGGCGGGAGGGGAGGCAGAGACCTAGGAAGATCAAAAACAAGGAGGCGGGAGTACATGCCACAAAGGCGTGGCAAGGAGGGGTGACCAAGTCAGTGGTGCCACAGGAGAGTCTGGTGCAATAGGAGGCGACACGCGCAGGGGGCTGCTACCAGACCTGACGCGGACACCTGAGCAGACGCAGCTACCTGAGAAGGCTCGGTAGTCAGTGTGTACAGAGTCAACCCAGGCCGACGAGTGAACGTGGCCAGGTGACGGCCCGTCTGTGTACACGTGCAGATCGACACACGCTGACCCCCAGGAGTGGTGGTAGTGACCATCGCATCCTGGAGGGCAGCGGTATTCATCAAGTTTGTAGAGAGCGAGGGATGTGAAGACCTGACAGTGAGCCGAACGGAACCGCCGGACACGGGAGAACAATGGAGGAAGTGGCAAGAACTGGGCCCCCTGAGGGGTTAGCCAGTCTGACTAGAACAGGTGCAGGGAGTAGAGTGAGGGTGGTACTATCGCGAAAGAAACAGCGGGAAGCACCTTAGTCAACCGTAAAGGTGTGCAAGGCCTCAGCAGGCGCAGTACCAGGGAGAGAAGACTCACTAGCACCTAGAGCAGCAGCCTCTATACCTGGGTCGGGCGGCACACACAGGTAACAGTCATCCTCAGCACTAACAGACAAGGCATACATGGCAGCAAGGATAGCATTATAGACAAGGAGGCGGGAGTGCATGCCACGAAGGCGTGGCAGCGAGGGGTGACCAAGTCTTTGGTGCCACAGGAGAGTCTGGTGCGACACTAGGCGACACGAGCAAGGGGGTGCTACCAGACCTGACGCGGACACCTGGGCAGACGCAGCTACCTGAGGAGGCTCAATAGCCAGTGTGTACAGACTCGACCCAGGCCGACGGGTGAACGTGGCCAGGTGGCGGCCCGTCCGTGTACACGTGCAGATCGACACACGCTGACCCACAGGAGTGGTGGTAGTGAACATCGCGTCCTGGAGGGCAGCGGTACTCACCAAGTTCGTAGAGAACGAGGGGAGGTGAAGGCCTGACAGTGAGCCGGACGGAACCGCCGTACACGGGAGAACAGTGGGGGAACGGGCAAGGACTGGACCCCCGGAGGGGTCAGCCAGTCTGACCGGTACAGGTGCATAGAGAGGATTAAGGGTGGTGCTGTCGCAAAAGAAACAACGTGAAGCACCTGAGTCAAGTGTAAAGGTGTTCAAGGCCTCAGCAGGCGCAGTACCAGGGAGAGCAGACTCACTAGCACCCAGAGCAGCAGCCTCTATACCTGGGTCAAGCGGCACACACTGGTAACAGTCACCCTCAGCACTAACAGACAAAGCATACATAGCAACAAGGATAGCATCATAGTCTAGGTCAAAGATAGCAACTCCAGACGTAAGCAGCTCAGCCCAGCGGGGGCGCTCGGCCTCGTCACCAAACTCTGCACGCCAAGCGTCGTCTAAGCGGGAGAAGCAGCGGTGCTGAGAGTGAAACTTCCCGCATCTCTGACCAGCACGGTCACCTGTGCGAATGACATACGGGTAGCAAACACTACCCCTAGACGCCACACGTCGAGCAAACCACTCACGAAGCTGCTGGGGCGTAGCGGTCTCGCTCCGACGCTGCTGCTTCTGCCTCTGGCCACCGCCAGAACCTCCCCTCTGAACAGCTCCACCCTGACCGCCACCACTGCCGCCGCCACCACTCCCACTGCCGCCACCACCGCCACCCCCACCGCTGCCACCACCGCCGCCACCGAAGCCCCCACTCCCGCCACCACTCCCACCATTGCCACCACCTCCGCCACCTCCATCGCCTCCACTGCCTCCACCACCACCACCCCCGCTGCCACCGCCACCACCCCTGCCACCCTTGGACTTGGTGCAGCGGCGCTTCCCACTAAGAGCAGAAGCATCCCCGACATCCTCAGTACCTAGGATGTCAACAGCAGCAGCAGAAGCGTAGGAGGGGGCAAGGGGGGAGGGGGAACACCCCTCAATGAAGGGTGTGCGAGGAGTGCCACGAGCAGCACCTACAGCAACTATGCTAGTCCCAGCTGCAAGGAGGTGCTTCTCGAGCAGGTCGACAGTGAGGTCTGTGGGGTCAAGTGCGAGAAATTGGTCCTTGACTGCACGAAGAGAGTGACTATGAAGTATAGAGTAGGGCAGTATAAGGTGGCCTAGAGCAGCAGTGGCAGGGGAAGAGTAACGAGCGACTACAGCGTCGTACAGGGCTTTAGCAGTCTTATGCTGGCCAAAGTGAGCGCGTTCGGCTAACGGCAGGTGGTTGCGAATGGCTCAGCGAGCATCTGCGTCACGGATAAGCCACTGTGAGCGAGTCGCACTGTCAGCTGTGGCGGGAGGGGCGAGAGAGACTCCTGACGTGTGGGCAAACAACGAAACGCTGTCTCTAGAATCGCTAAGTAGGTACAGCTGTAAGTCGTCGAGCCACGTATCGAAATGGATCGGACGGCCCTCATGATCGAAGGTGAGTACACTGAGAGAAGCCATAGCGGGCAGAGCAGGGTGGCGCGTGGCTAGCAGGGCGGCCCTCAGGCAGGGCGGCGTGGCAGCAGGGCGGCGCGGGCAGGAGGGCACCGGCCAGTAGGGCGGGCAGTAGCCGGGCGGCGCAAGTAGGGATGTGCGGGCAGCAAGGCGCCGGCTAGCAGGGCTGCGCGCAGCAGGGCGGGCAGCAGCAGGGCGGCGCGCGGGTGCAAAGGGCAGCGAGCGGGCCGCAAGAAGCGGCGAGCGGGCTGCAAGGGGCGGCGAGCGGGCCGCAAGGGGCGGCGAGCGGGTCGCAAAGGGCGGCGAGCGGGCCGCAAAGGGCGGCGCGGCGGGCTGCAAAAGGGCAACGCGGGGGCTGCAAAGGGCGGCGCGGCGGCCAGCAGGGCGGCGCGCGGGTAAGGTAGGGCGGGCAGCAGCAGGGCGGCGCGGCGGGCTGCAAAAGGGCGGCGCGGCGGGCTGCAAAGGGCGGCGCACGGGCTGCAAAGGGTGGCGCGCGGGCTGCTAAGGGCGGCGCGGCGGCTAGCAGGGCGGCACGACAAGCAGGGCAGGGCGGGGCAGGGTAACGCAACTAGTGGGGCAGCGCTCTGTGGTGGGCCCTAAAAAAATCGGTCCTAGAACAGGACCTGCTCTGAAACCATGTGAGAATACTGAGCGAGAAAGAAATGCATTGAGCAGAAAGTTGATACAAGTATTAACCCTAATTGGATTGTACCCTTTATGGGCTACCCATTACAACCTACACAATGTAAGCATTATAACATTTGACAGTTGCATGTGCTGTGCATCAACCTATATGGGAACTGATCGGCCATGGAACTACAGGACTGGCAGGAGGGTGAGGAGAGCGAACATCACTGACATCAGGGTTACACAGTACACTCCAGACAGCAGCTGCCCGGACAGTGGATTTCTGCACACACGAGAGCAGGAAGAAAAAAAATGCTCAGCAGCAATCTACGAGATGAGAAAAAATGACATCATAAAACATAACTAGCTTGAGAAAAAAAAAAAAAAAAAAACGAGTACCCCAAAGAGTCACGTACCGGGAGCGCGTCCTTGCTGATGTAGAGGGAGACGTTGTACGAGGAGGGAGCAGCACCAGCAGCAGCACCGGCAGCAGCAGGGGGGATAATGCTGGCATTGACAGTGAGTGACTGGTTGGCAGGAGCGCTCATGGAGAGCGCAGGGAAGGCGGTGGGTGTGACTGTCTGCACTGTGTTGCTGCTGAACGGGGTAGTTGCGAGCGACGCCTGAGTCATCAGGGTGATTGGGAACACTAGCCCAACGCCGACGGACTGGAAGGCGTGGGGGGAGAAATAGGGGCGCATAGCAATGCAGGTGTGTGGTTGAATGAGGGGGAAGTGAGGGAATGGATGAGCCAAAATGACAGACACAATGACAGGAGGAGAGACGTGCCCAGACATGTCAGTGCTGCTTTGCATCCTTATGCTGCGGAGTTGCTCGTTTTGCTGCTTTTGCACTATAACCCCTTTTTGCTGCTGAGTGAGTTGCTCACATTGAGCTTTTGAGTGTCCCTCACCTTGCTGTTGTTGCCTGCAACGAAGGGCATGGCGTCAAAGGTCCCAGGGAGAGGGGTGGGTCCCTTGGATGGCACCATGATGTACCCGATTCCCTTCATGGCCCTAGTGGGATAGCATCCATGCACACATGCAACCATACACACACACACACACACACGCACACACACACACACATGGGCATACAGGGGAAATGCTTTTTGCATAAAAGCAGGAACCAGACGGTTCCGCTAAAATCACCAAGCAAGAGGATTCCATAGAGAGTCTGAGACTGAATTATATACTCACAGCGGATCCACATGCAGTCTCCACTGATACTCACAGGGGATCCACGTGCAGACTCCACTGATACTCACAGGGGATCGACACGGATGGACGGGAGGCGCATGGTGGAGCCAGCGGGCTGGCGCACAAACATCTCCGTGTAGAGAAACCCCACCGACGTCCCGCCGCCATTCACCACCGGCGGACTCCCAAACGCCTGCGCCACCGTGACGTCAGCTCCCTCGTCTGTGGAGCAGATGTAACCGCGAAGCTTCTCATTGTCTGTCTCTGTGCACTCGCTGCCAATCTGGCTGGCCGTGTCGACGTCCAGTAGGGAGAAGGTGAGGTAGACGTAGCAGGAGAGGCAAAAGTCGGGGCCTGACGCGAGGTACGCGGGAATGGCCTGCTGCTCCGTCACTTTGGTGCCGTTGTCTGCAGAGTGGGAGGATGGGGGTAAGAGTGGGAAGTATTGAGACGATTTAAACAGATTATATATATATATATATACATAAAATGTTGGATTGACGTTTGGGTGTAGCGAGTGAGGCAAGTGCGAAAAAACTGAGAGAGACGGTTATGGTTTGATTCTTGATGAGAGTTCAGTCGCTGACACGATAAAAAATTGCTGACAACAGTCAATTGCATACATGGCCTACGCAGTTCGGGGACAGATGGGGTCTTCACTTCACACTCACAGATGGGGTAACAGTTGGAAGGGGCGAAGGTCAAAATGGCGTGCTTCACGTCCGTGAGAGAGGAGAAGTCTGCATGCAGATAGGCGAAAGCAGGCACGTGGAAAACAAGGAAGAAACAGAATGAGTAAAAAAAGAAACGGACTGAAAATGAACGCGTGGTAGTGGAAGGTTGGAAGAGGGGATGATGAGGAGAGGGAAGGAGGGTGGTATGGAGAAGGAATCACATTCTAAAAGGCAGCAATGCCACTCACTGAAGGGCCACACTCACAGTGACCCTGCCGATTATGAAAACAACATCTTCGTTTCTTAGCTTTACTTTTCCTGTTGCTGTCACTCACTGGACGGAAAAGGGTAAGTCTCCACAATGTACTCCTTCTTGGGGGTGACCGCCTTAGCCCAGTCCGGCATATAGGCCTGCAGGGGAAAATTGCATCAGTAGCGGCGATCACGACGACAAACGGGGAAAACGCGTGCACTCCTGAGCTATACATGTAGGTAGAGAAAAAGCAGGACGTTTGGATGTCAGGACGTAGGTGCATCACTGCGGACACGGCTCGAGCGAACGAGCACGAACACGAACGAACAACGAAAGAGCGACCGACGAACGAAGGAACGAAGGAACGAACGAACGAACCTGCACGCGGATCTGGTTACGGTTGGGTCCCACGACGACACGGATGTCGCCTTCGAGGAAGTTGCTGTGGAAAGTCGTGCTCATGGTGCTCTGAGCCCAACACCTGACACGTGTATGCAAATCAGTAATGTGTTGATCGGGTGGGAAGAGACTGATACTATCAGATCGTTGAATGATAACTGCGGTTACGATCGTCATGGCACGTCGAATCGCTTGCAAGTAAAATGAAGATTCGAAAAATTCCCTAAGTGATCTCGGAAGGCCTACCCAGAAGGGATCAGCGCAGAGGCGGCGATGAAACTGGCGAGGAGAGTAATGCGGCCCGACGCTGACGCGAACTTCGCCATCGAAGCCATAGCTGAAGCCATCGTGGTGCTATTCACAGTGAGAAATGTGGCTAGTAGCTAAGATCAACGGGAGAAAGGAAGCAGATGGTTGCAATGATCTGCAGCAGACCCACTTTTCATAGTGACTCGTACTCGTCAGCCACGATTTTCGACGTGTGCGATTCGATCAATTGATCCAACGCCTCCTGAGCTGACGGCCTTCTTGTGACGCGCGGACAGGACAGGGTGTCACTGGCTAGTGCCAGCGAGTGAGCTCTCGGCTTCACACCGAACCTAACGGTTGGGTTTTTTGGCTGGTGTGGGTCGGGTGCCGGACGTCGTCGGACACTAAGCGCATCGCACTGTAGCGCACACGATCCAGCAATCTGGAACATCGGTGGTGCCGCGCCGTGCGGAAGATGTTCTGTCCACTCATTCAGCCAGAAATCCCGTCCGGAAGCACCGTGATACAAGGAAGCGCATCTAGAAGGAGTAGGTGCCATGCCATAACACACCTTGATTTTGTCCTTGCTCCCTTGTCAAACGAAAATGTTCATGAACTGTAACGTGTGTTCCAGAGCAAAGCCACGGTTTCCCTCTTCCCAGGCTCACCCCAACAGGCTGAGGTTGCCGCCCAGATTCTTACTTTCCCCTTTACAAAGTCATGTGGTATCTCGAAGTACTGATTATTATACACACCGTTTTATAAACCTAGGGGACTGATAATCCGCAGTTTGGATAAGCTCTCCTGCCACAGTGTTATAAACCAAGGGGGTGATATATTATTTGGGCGATAACAATATTGCCCTGCATGAGCATATGCTCAGCTGATGCGCTACAAGATAGAAACTGGACAGTGCTCTCCATCAACAGTGCACCAGATCTAGCACACGCCTTGCCTGTCCTTTATGTCCATGCTTCCTGGGGGACACAACTAACATGTAACTCTCATCAACCTTTTGAAGACTTGGTGCATGGATCTAGAAGAGCTCTGCGTATACAATTTAGTAACATACTCAGAATAATGTCATCCTGCATGAACGTGTGGTTGGATCACGGGACTACAGGACAGGCAGCAGGACGAGCAGTGCAAACGTCACCATCATCCAGGATGCCTTTGGTCTCTGCAAAACGAAAGCAAAAAACGCACATAAAATACACTAAGCAACAAACCATCAATATCCACCTGGATTTCTGTGAGCTTCTTCAAGGTCAAGAACACAAAACACATACCGAAATCGCATTCTTGCCGATGGAGAACGTGATGTTGTATGGGGTGGCAGCAGCAGGGGTAGCAGCAGGCGGCACGATGGAGGCATTAAGAGTGAGCGACTGGTTGGCAGGAGCACTCATGGAGAGGGCAGGGAAAGCTGTGGGCGTGGCTGTTTGCTTTGTGTTGCTGCTAAACGGGGTAGTTGCGAGAGATGCCTGAGTGATCAGGGTAATTGGGAACACTAGACCAATGCCTACAGCCTGGTGGGTGTGGATGAGGAGGGAAGGACAAGGTGGGGTCGCAAGATTTTGAGTGGAGTTGAGAAAGCTTTATGAGAAAAAAGAGGCAATATGGTAATATATAAGGGGCCAGAAAAATAATGTTGTCACATATGGTTTCGTGTGGAATTGAGTGGTTGTGGAGGGAAGTGATAATATGTGAAGTGAAGTGCAAAAGAGGCACAGAAGATTCAGTGCTGCTTTAGCAATTCCTGGCTTCTCTGGTCCCTCACCTTGCTGCCGTTGCCTGCAATGAAGGGCATGGAGTCAAAAGTCCCAGGGAGAGGAGTGGGTCCCTTGGAAGGCACCATGATGTACCCGATTCCCTTCATGGCCCTGGTAGGATGCATCCATGGCACGCATGCAACCATACACACATGTACAGATGCAGCACATGTACACACGTGCACACACACGCAAGGAAACGCAGAGAGAAACGCTGATCCATGCAATCCCAACCAATACCAAGCGCGCAAAACACTGCCAGAGGACCAGAGGGTTCTAATTAAGCCAACAGAAACGAGAAAAATGCAGACTGCAGAATACGAAAGCGCCATCGGTACTCACAGGGGATCGACGCGGACGGACGGGAGGCGCATGGTGGAGCCAGCGGGCTGGCGCACAAACATCTCCGTGTAGAGAAACCCCACCGACGTCCCGCCGCCATTCACCACCGGCGGACTCCCAAACGCCTGCGCCACCGTGACGTCAGCCCCCTCGTCCGTGGAGCAGATGTAACCGCGCAGCTTCCCGTTGTCCGTTTCCGTGCACTCGCTGCCGATCTGACTCGCCGTGTCGACATCGAGGAAGGAGAAGGTGAGGTAGACGTAGCAGGAGAGGCAGATGTCTGAGCCCGAGTCGAGGTATGCAGGAACGGCTTGTTCAACGGCTACGTTGGTGGTGTTGTCTGCAGAGGAAGGAGGCGGGCGAGAGAGGGTATTTTGAGAGGGTACTTGTATAGGTGAGAGGGTGTAAAAACCGGAAGTTAGGGTGTCGCTGAGGCGGTGAGGGCAAAAAGGGCGAGGAGGTTTGACTTGATTTTCGCTGGGATTTCAATAAAGTTGGCATCAGTCAACTCGATACTACCTACATGGCATAAGTATTGCTGACAACATTCAAGTGCATGTGTAAAACGTGGAGGCAACGTGAGGCGATAAGAACAACGCCCCGTGGAAGGGCTTCACATCACATCCGTCACAGATGGGACGGCAGGAGAAAGGGCTGAGGGTCTTGATGATGACGTGCTTCAAGAGGAAATCGGTTCTGAGGGGGCATGAGGTGTTCATTTCACACTCACAAATGGGGTATTCACTTCACACTCACAGATGGGGTCTTCACTTCACACTCACAGATGGGGTAGCAGTTGGAAGGGGCGAAGGTCATAATGACGTGCTTGACGTCCGTCAGAGAGGAGAAGTCTGCACGTCGACAGGCGAAAGCAGGCAGGCGGAAAACAAGTTAGGATGAAGAATAAGTTGGGGAATTAAACGGGCAGATTAATTACTGTCTGGTAGGGGAAGGCAGCAAGGAGGTGGAATCGAGGGAGCATGATTTTCCAGGGTGCTGTGCGGGGGATTGCAACTGACGGCAATGATGGCACTCACTGGAGCCCATATTCCAAGCATTCTTGGAAGTTTACCTTTTCGCCTTTCTTGATTATTGTTTTTGCGTGTCTGCGTGATTTTACTCTTTTTCTTTCTGCTACTCACTGGACGGAAAAGGGTACGTTTCAACGAGATACTCCTTCTTGGGTGTGACCGACTTAGCCCAGCCCGGCAAGTCCGCCTGCACCGGAAAATTTGCAAACAGAAAGAGCGATCAGAACAGCCAAAAGGGAAAACCGCGTGGACGGGTGAACTGCTACACGTAGATAGGCTTAAGCAGGACGATTGGACGTCAGGACGTATAGGCACATTGTGACGAGGGCTCGAGGATGGCAATTCAGCACGTTCGTACGTACGACGAACACGAACGAGCGAACAATCGATCGAAAACGAAGACGAACGAAAGAGCGAACGAACGAACGAACCTGCACGCGGATCTGGTTGCGGTTGGGACCCACGACGATGCGCACGTCGCCTTCGAAAAAGTCGCTGTGGACAGTCGTGCTCATGGTGCTCTGAGCCCAACACCTGACACATGAGATAAGTGAATGTATTTAAATCGTTACTAATTAATCAGTTGGGAAGAGCTGATGCTGGTGGCTGAAGCAACAACTTCGGTCGGATCCGGTCCGACATGGCGCATCGCGGTTTTCGCGAACATGGGGGAAAGCGCGGCGTTAAAAAGGTTCTCTCAAGCGTCTGAAAGCCTACCCAGAAGGCATTAGCATAAAGGCGGCGATGAAGCTGGCGATGAGAGTAATCCGGCTCGACGCCAAGACGAGGTTCACCTTAGACGCCATGGTTAGGAGCGGTGCTTGTCACAGAGCGAGATAAGCCTAGCAAGGATCTGTGGAGAAAAAGAGGAAAACAGATTGTTGCGTCCATGAGCTCCTGCGGACCCACTTTACTACACAGCCACAATTATCGACGTGTGTGATCCGTAGCTCCAGCTGCTGAACTGACTGAATCGACACCGCATCGCGGTGTCGTGTCGCTTGCTGGTGCCGTGCGTCATCAGGATTCAGGAACCAACTATAATTGTGTTCCTCCTAAGGACAACCGAGCCTTGATTGGTGTGTTTCTCATGCTGTACGCCTAATCACCCCGATAATCTCAACCATGAAGGTTTCTATCAAATCGCGAAATGGACAACGGTTGCGTCTACACGCGAACATTTGAATCGTATGGCTAGTCTCATCAGTCGCATTCCACAAGCCAGCGAATCGAGGGGACGGAGTGTAGTACATCCCAATTTCCATCGGCTTGCATTCGAGAACAATCTACTCAAGTACGAAATTCTTTTTGCTGTGCGGGTGTCCCTCCGTACATAGGAACAACATGCACTGTAGTGCACACCAACCAGCGAAGTGCTGAGCGGTGGTGGTGCCGCAACGTGCGGGAGATGTTCTGCGTTTGCATGTTGCTGAAAATCCTGTCCAGGGGGTGATGGGTGTGGGTGGGATGGGAGGTTGGGAAGGAGGGTTGAAATCGATGGATTTAAGCTACCCCGTTATACCGTTCTAAACTGCCTTATTTGTCCTTGGTTTCTGAGCTGAAAAGTTTATGCTGGAAGGTTCATGAATGTGCCAAAACTAGTCTGCTTGGGCCCCATGGAAGTGCATGTCCCAAGCCTGATTTCCTTCAGGTATACATGGTTCAGGCTACAATATATACATGAACTTCAACATAACACCCCAGACATACCGTATGTTGCACTACCAGGGTCAGCGGATTGTACTGACTCTGATATAAGCCAACCTGAAACCACCAGCAAAAAGATTCCACACTCCCCAAGCCCGAACCTTACCATCACCATAGCTCGTTACAACTTAATGTGCGTCGCACCATCTAGCTCCTCCCGTTTCGTTTTAAGAACCGGGAATGGTGGCAACGGCCCTCTATCAGAACACGGCCGCAACAAAACGTCCTCCGCCCCACGCGCTGCTGCAGCCAACTCCTCTTCCTCAGCCACACTCTGAAGCCCACTTTTGCACCCTCGCATACAGTCACGGGCACCAATACAATCACATTCACACCCTCCTCGGCTACTGTGCACTGACTGGCCGGCGGGTACATGCGGAGGAGCAACATACCCTGGCGCCGTCCATTTTAATCCACTAACAGACGAAGAGGACGAAGACGAGGAGGAGGACGCAACCTGGGGAGAATTAACCCAGGAAGACAACGCAGGAGGTGCTGCGCTGTGCAGAACGGTTCCAGGAGCAGCAGCGGGAGAAGCGGAGGAGTTGGGAGCGGTGAGGTGGTTTGTTGTGGGGGGAAACTTGCGTGTGGGGCAGAGGAAGTCGAAGTGGATCTTGTAGCCGGCCACGAAGAAGCGCACCGCGTTCAACACTCCCTTGGCGCCCCACGCTGCCACCAGCGTCTTGAAATAAAAGTGCGCCAATGCTGCATAACAAGGGGGGTAGAGGGGGAAGGGAGATGGGGGAGAGGAAGAGGGGCAAGTGCAGGAGAGGGGGAGAGTGGGAGGAGGGGCAGTGAGTAAGCATGAATGACCTTGGCTCTCCATGCCGCCCCATGCCGCCACCAGCGTCTTGAAATAGAAGTGCGCCAACGCTGCATTCAAAGTGGGGAAGACGGGGAGCGAGAGGGTATGGGGTGTGGGGTGTGGGAGTGGGGCGTGGGGAGGAGTGTGGGGTGAGGGGTGTGGGGTGTTGAGTGTGGGGAGTAGGGAGTGGGTTGGCAGGGACCAGGCAGCATGGAGGATAGGGGTTAATGGGCAACTCATCAGTGAAACGAGTTCTAAAACGTATCAAAGATCGGCAATGCGAGGAAACACATGAAGCAATCTGAACAGCGCATGAAATCACAAGCATGCCAACAAACGGTGGTGGCGGGAGGGCGGGAGGGCAGGAGGGGAGGGGGGTAGGTGGGGGTTGCAACGAACCGATGCAGGGGACGGAATAGCAGCAACATCAGAAGGGAACGCACCGATGCAGGGGAGGAAGAGGGCGAAGAAGCCGATGGTGAGGAAGGCGGCCATGTAGGAGAAAGCCTGTGCTGCGTAGATCAACCCGTCGTACACAAACACCTGTTGGTTGTGAGGAGCAGAGGGGGAGGGGAGGAGCCAAAAACGAGTGGGGGTTTGGAGGGGGCGGGGAGCCAAGGGGGGAAATCCAGTAGTGAGGAAGGCGGCCATGTAGAATAAGGCCTGCGCTGCGTAGATCAGCCCATCGTACACAAACACCTTTGGTTTATGGAAGGAGGTGAAGGAGGGCGAAGGGGGGGCGCCAAGGAAGGGAACGACGATGGTGAGGAAGAGGTCCATGTAGGATAATGTACAGCCAGGTACAGCCAGGTACAGCCAGGTACAGCCAGGTACAGCCAGGTACAGCCAGGTACAGCCAGGTACAGCCAGGTACGGCCAGGTACGGCCAGGTACAGCCAGGTACAGTCAGGTACAGCCAGGTACAGCCAGGTACAGCCAGGTACAGCCAGGTACAGCCAGGTACGGCCAGGTACGGCCAGGTACAGCCAGGTACAGCCAGGTACAGCCAGGTACAGCCAGGTACAGCCAGGTACAGCCAGGTACGGCCAGGTACGGCCAGGTACGGCCAGGTTCAGCCAGGTTCAGCCAGGTACGGCCAGGTTACAGCCAGGATAGACATGCGAGAGGCAAGAAAGGGAAAACAGCAGGGCTAAGCGGGTTACAATGAAGTTAAGCGGTTGAAGAAGCACCAGGTGAGGGCACGCGCTTCTGAGCTTCTGCAGACACCCCACACTTGTTCCCGCAACCCCAACCCACACACCTTACGAGGCACACAGGGCTCAAAGAGGGGAAACAGCACCAGCAAGCGGCTTACAATGGAGTTGAGCGGCTGAATGAGCGCGAGGTACAGCCATGCGCCTCTGAGCTCCTGCTTGGTCCCCTCGTCAAATGTGAAGAGACCCATCAGCTGCTCGCGCCACCCCAGGTACACCAGAGCTATCGCCACGCCCGCCACCGCCCCCATGTTCAGCACCCTCCAGCAGGCCTCTCTCAGGTCCCTTAAGTGGATTGCGTGCTCTGCGGGCGTGCGGCTCTTAGCTAAGTGCCCCGCGACGCTGCTGGCGACGATGGTGCCGGCGGTGGCGAAACCGTCAGCGATGTAGATGTTGATCATCCACAGCTGCATTAGAACTTGATGGGCTGCCACCGCGTGCATTCCAAGAGATGTGGCACAGGCCAAGACGAGGAAGAAGGACGCCTGGTGGTTCACAGGGGGGGAGAGGGGAGGGGAAGGGGGGGAGGAAACGGAGCAAAACAACAAGGGGGGAGGAGGAGAGGAGCAGTGTGAGCGATGGAGATGCTGCTGGCAACGATGGTGCCGGCCGTGGCAAAGCCGTCTGCGATGTAGATGTTGGAGGGCTGCCATCGTGTGCACGAGCGCGGATCGCAGCATGGTGCTGAGCCCATCCCAGATCAACTTCCACGTGCTCTCATTCAACACCTCTTTCACCCTCTCCTCCTCCTCTGCCACCTCGTGGAACAAAATAGAACACGGAGCACCCGTATCGCACTGTAACGAACAGTACCGCACTGCATCGCACTGCACCTGCCCGCACCAATCCATACCTGCACAAGTGCAGATCGCAGCATGGTGCTGAGCCCATCCCAGATGAACTTCCACGTGCTCTCATTCAACACCTCGTTCACCCTCTCCTCCTCCTCTGTCAACTCCTCCCCTCCTCCTACCATCCCTCCTACCGCCCTTCCCCCATTCTGCTGCCAACTTTGCGGCTGCCCCCCCTCCCCCACATGCTCATCTAACAAAGGCACATGCAACGCCTCCTCTCCCTCCCCATCACCACCACCACCGCCACCACCGCCACCACCACCACCAGCGATCCCATTCCCCCAGGGACTCCAGCACCCCCCGCCACGTTTCCCCCCTGCCGCCCGGCCAGAAAGGGAGCTGAGCAGCGGAGTGAAGATGTGGATCTTGTGCCGCCCCTCGGCGGGCGGCAGCAGCAGGATGCAGACAAAAGCGGCGGCGGCGACAACGGAGGAGGCGAGGATGGTGCCGAGGCCCACACCGACAAGGCCCCAGTCAAGAACGTAAAGGGCCACGTAGGAGGCAAAGACGTCTAGCAAGACTCTACCTCCCTGCAGACATGCCACTAGGTTCACCCGCTGTGGTAGGGGGGTTGGGTGGGAAGGGGGGGCGAGTGGGGGAGGGGAGGGGGGAAGAGGCAGAGACGGGGAGAAAGTGGAGGAAAAAGGGCGGAGGAGGAGGGAGAGGGGAAATGAGATGAGACGGAGGACACGAGGATGGTGCCAAGGCCGACGCCGACAAGCCCCCATTCAAGTTTGTAGAGAGCGATGTAGGAGGCACAGACGCCTAGCAGCACCCTGCCGCCCTGCAGACACGACACTAGGTTCACCCTCTGGAGGAAGAGAGGGGAGGGGGGTAGAGGCGGATGAGGAGGGAAGGAGGTGGGGGGGAGAAGGGGCGGAGGAGAAGGGGAGGAGAAGCGGTGGGGGAGAGGGGAGGATAAAATGGGAAGGGAGAGGGGGTGTGAGTTGAGGGGATGAGATGACATGAGAGAGAGGATGGTCCCGAGGCTGACTCCTGGATGGTCTGAGCCCCAGTGGAGCACGTAGAGGGCGATGTACGAGAGGCACAGACGTCTAGCAGCACCCTGCCGCCCTGCAGACACGTCACTAGGTTCACCCTCTGAGCGGGGTGGAAGGGGAGAGAAGACCAGGTGTGGGTGGAAACGTTAAAAACGAGAGACGAGATGAGGGAGACGATCGTGCCGACTGTCACAGCACAGAACTTGGAGTTATAACGAGCACGTGTAGGGCACCATTCGCTGCCAATCAGTCCAGCATTGACTTGAACACCTATGCATCCCTGTGTACCGCATTGAACTGTGCTCTGTATCCTTGATGCATGCCTGACGTGCACACATGACTAGCAGCAGACCAACCGACACCATCCCCTACGTAAGTCGGACTGTCCACCGCTCTCAACCGCACCGCACCTTGTACCCCTGCAGAATCCCCGAGGTGCACATGACGAGCAGCTGCGGCAGCACGCCAATGACTCTGAGGTAGAAGTGGGAGCGCGCGTAGGGCAGCACCTTGGGAGTATCCGCCAGCAACAGCACCCACCAGAACCGCCCTAAACCACACCTTCCACACCTCCAAACCATAACGTACCTTGTACCCTTGCAGTATTCCCGAGGTGCACATGACGAGCAGCTGGAGCGGCACACCAATGACCCGCAAATAGAAGTAGCTGCGCGCGTAGGGCAGCACCTTGGGAGTATCCGCCAATAGCAGCATCCAGCATCACCGCACTAAACCGCATTGAACGTACCTTGTAGCCCTGCAGGATCCCCGAGGTGCACATGACAAGCAGCTGGGGAGGCACGCCAATGACCCTGAGATAGAAGTAGCTGCGCGCGAAGGGCAGCACCTTGGGAGTATCCGCCAATAGCAGCCACAGCGGCTGCTGCAGCGCCAGCAGCAACCCCACCGCCACCATCCCCATCACCAGCGCCATCCCTAAGGCTAGGCGGATGCGCGCGCCCACTTGCGCCCATGCCCCCACCGCCACCACCTTAGTGACCTGCGGAGGGTAAGGAGGGGAGGGGGAGGAAGGTGAAAAAGAGGGAGAAGGACAGGAAAGGGTGTGGGCGGGTGTGTGAAGAGGGATCGGGGAGGGAGAGGGTGGGAAGGGGGGAAGCAGCGCCAGCAGCAGCGCAACCGCCACCATGCCCATCACCAGCGCCATTCCTAAAGCCAGGCGGATGCGCGCGCCCACTTGCGCCCATGCCCCCACCGCCACCACCTTACTCCTGGGGTCGGGAGGGGGAGGGAGAAGGGGGGAAAGAGGGGGAACGACGGAAAAGGGTGGAGATGGGTGTGTGAAGTGGGATACGGAAAGGCGGGAGCGAGAGGGGGAGTGGGTTGAGGGGAAAGGGTGGGAAGGGGGAAGCAGCGCCAACAGCAGCGCCACCGCCACCATGCCCATCACCGGCGCCATCCCCAAGGCTAAGCGGATGCGCGCGCCCGCCTGCGGCCATGCCCCCACCGCCACCCCCTTAGTCACCTGCGGGGGGGTTGGGGGAGGGGGCAGGGAGGAGGAAAGGCGGAAAGGGTGGAGGGAGGGAGGAAGGTGGAGGAATTGGAGGGAGAAAGGAAAGCGAGCGAGTGTACAGGGAAGCGGAATGATCCAGAATCCGTCAAGCCGAAGTCGATTTCAGTTAGAATCCATCAAGCCGACTGCAGCCAATGCGTCATATAGAACAGAGTCCGATAGCAGACGGGAAAAGGAAGGAACGAGGGAGAGAGGGCGCGGGGATGGGGAGGAAAAGAATGGAAGCGCAGGGGAAGTACCTTGGCAGTGACGCCGACAACGAGGAAGTTGAAGACGACTGTAGCGGCATTCGTAGCGGCTATCGCCGATGACGTGGCAGCGGGAAGCCAGGAGGAGACACGTGGCAGTTGAGCAGAAGGAGCAGGCATAGGTCACGAAGAAACAGGAGGGATGGGGATAGAGAAGGGAAAGTCAGTGAGTGGGGTGAATCCATCCTCTCCATTCCCCATTTCCCTCTCTTATCCCCGCTCTCTCTTTCTCTCTCCCCCTCCTGCTCTTCCTCACAGGTCTATTTAATTCCAAGCTATCGCCCCGGCCACGTGAAAGCGGAGAAGCTTGCTCCCTTCGTGATTCGTAAACCGGTCCAATTCATAAAGGCTTTAAGTTCTGAGACGCCTCAACCAGCACGTGTTGGCTCGAGGTTCGATCCTACTGCGCCATGCGTTTCCTTCCCTCAGGCCGCTGTTGCAAGCTACGAGGCGCGTCAAAGCGACGGCGAAGATCGCGTCGGGAAGCCTCTGCGAAGCACGCAAAACGTTTCTTCGAGATGCACAGCCAACGTATCCGCAACGTGCAGTCAACTCCAACCAAGCTCAGTTACGGACGCGTCGATAGTAGGGTCAAGTCAAAGAAAACTGCCTGCGAGGCGAGGAGCAGCAGACACCTCCGAGTGCGCGTACGTACGGATGCGTCCTTCGCAGCCCGCCACGCACATCATGGGCAAGCGCTGAACACGAAACGACACGAAACGAAACGAAACGTCTACGAGTTTCGACATTTATCAATGCACGCTCCTCACTCGCGTACTTACGCGCAACACGAAACGCACATGCACACCACGTATCATGTACATCCACGTCCCTCTCTTCTCCCGCGCACCTCCTTCCCCACATCCTGTCCCCACGCCCCCGCCCCCGCCCCCGTCCCCGCTCCATCCCCGTCCCGCCTAGGCCTCCCACTTTCCACGACATTCGTCCATCTGACGGCAACTTCCTACCAGACCGCAGCGCTTGCTTCCTCTCTGCGACTCACTTGCGACGATGGCCCATGCGGCGACGATCTCCGTGGACTTGCGACCGAGGAGCGCGGTTTGGAAGGTGATGGCGAGCGGCGCGCCGCTCTGGAGGAGAATTGAGGGCAGCGCGAGGCGCAGCAGCGACGAGTAGTGCAGCACGGGATTCAGATCCCGGAATACCATCCTCGGGCCGACTGTCGCCTTGTACCGACTTTCGCGTGGTAAGAATGTTTCGCGTGTTAGCGACCTTCGCGTACGGTTGTCGCCTACCACCGGCTGGTATCGGCTGTTACAGATGTCGCTTGCTAGAGACAGCAACGTGTGCCGCCCCGGGCACACGAGCTAGCGAAACAAAATCTGATCACAGGTTAACTGGCTAAGAGTCGGTCCAGAACGAGAGCTATACCACCAGCCTCACGACCTATGATACTGCGGGTCACAGTTACGAACAATAATTGGATTGATCGACTACACAGGCGTGTGCTTTATATATGCAGCTTTTCGACGCAGCACCTCCATCGTGAACTGGCCACTGGGAGCACAAGTTTGCAGTGCTAGTTTCGCGGAGAAGAACGCGGAAAAAAGAGTGAGCCTACAATCTTGTCTGGCGAGTGGTGGCTGAACCAAACCAACCCCCAGAGGTTGCTCGGCTTGCAGAGTCTTGCCTGGCCCGGTTTGGTTCTGCTGCCTTGTTCTGCTTGGCCTGTACGGTTGGGCTTCGTTTGATTCGGGCCGCCAGGCTCGGTATGCCATGGGTCAGGTCAGGTTCAGAAGCTAGATGGTGGGAGCGGGCAGGCTGTGCAATTGCGTGTACAGCATGTACACATTTGCCACGTGGGCGCTGTGCCGTTTGCACCGTACATGCCCAGCCCAGGGCTGCTTGGTTCGCAGAATGGTGGTTGGCTGGATAGCATCCACACACAACTAGCAGAGGAGGACTTTCATAGCTTTGAGAACTGTTGGGTAGATTTCTGAGCAGGAAACAAGCTCTGATTAAAGGTGGGATGGGACGCTGGTGTCAGTGTCTGCCTGCTCCAGCGACCTGTACGACATTTCTGGACCGCCCAACCTCTACTGTCCTGTCTCACGTATGTTTCGGAACAACCATTGGGTTCTTCACTGATTCGGCTTATTGAACAGCCTTCCCACCACCACTAATATTGACGGCATTTTCACAGATCAGCTAGTTCGAGTGTACTTCACGTCTCATTGGTGAGATTATGCACCAATCACTTTTCTGTCACGCCCCACATCTCCATGCCACTCTGGTCTGGTCTGGTCTGGACTGGACTCTCCCGCTCCTACCACTGGCTTGCTCCAAATGGTGAGCAGGTCAAACATAGCTCATGTATGGTCGGAGCTGATATGAATGCACACCATTTGAGGCGAAGCTGTAAATTTGTCTTTTGTCCTTTACAATCAGTTGTAACCTTGGTCTAATATCTGAACTTGAAAGGTGTAAGGATAAATTCCTTTCCCTTACTTCACGTCCCTGCTTACCATGTACATGACTATTCCCGCCACCAGCAGCCAACAGTAAAACGTTACCCGCTCGCAACACTCGCCTCGACCACTGTTCCCGCCACAGTACACACGGTTCGGTTGGTAACCCCGCGCTCCGGTCCTCCGCCTCGACATTTCCCAACCTCGGCGCTAGGCCCGTAGCGCACCCCAATTTCTCACGTTACCATTACAACGCTAGCTTCGCTATATATTCTTCGCTCATGACTTCGCTCGATGCACTCTTTTGCTTCGATGGTGCAATTTTTGCTCGCTCACTCAATGGCACTCGTAACACTTGTTGGAAACAAGTAACTTAACGCTTCTGAAGTATCGAAGTATCGACACAAAACGGAGCAGACTACAGTGAAGCAACACACGAGTCAACAAAAGTAACAGCTGCAAGTTACGCGAAGGTCAAAGGTCGCTGACCTTTGACTCGACGAAAAGTACAATGCGACAGCATGGACACATAACTGACTCGATACTGAGCAGTTACTCGAGTCGTCATTGTATCGAATCGCTGTCATGATCTTACGGGGAAGTTGTGTGGACTATGGAGAGGAAAAGATACAAAGGAAAAATCTAAGGGGTTCTACCCCACAGTGAGTACCCCACTAAGCCTAACCAAACTATAACAAATATACACATATGTTTGACACACCCCCATAGGCAAAGTGGGGGAGAACAGAGGGTCACAAGACCAGTCAGGAAGTGCAAAGCAAGCTCAGGGTGGATCACAACGTCACCACGCAGTCTGAGCACAAGCAAGAAGGCCACAAGGCCAGTTCACATGCAGAAATATATATGTAACAACAACAGTACAGTGATATCTACCTACAAGAGCAAGCATGCAGGAATACATATAAATCATGGTACAAAAAAGGCCTACAGCAAGTGAGGAAGAGTGGGCACAAGGCCTAACTGTTATAGTCACAATAGGCTTGAATGTGCCTAAAACGAAAGATAGAGAGCACAGACGGATTTCTGCACAGCGGCTTCAAACGTTGATAGCGTTCTGCTCACAGCTGCAAATGACTTGATTCAAATTGGATCTGGAGCGTCTTTACGTCGTCTACAATTAGCAATTTAGATTGCACGATTTGATAAAGAATTGACGATACAGCGTCGGTTTGAACGAACGGTACTATGGCAGCCACTATAGTCTTAGAACACAAGATAGGAAGAGTTACGAGTTGGGAATGACTCCCAGCTCCTACAAACCCCAAGAGCCGAGGTACAGTGATGTGGAACAGTGCCACACTGTCCCCAACCACGAAGGGTCTCGAAACTACCCTTCACTAGGGCCTACACCAAGTGAAATGTTACACTACACAAAGTAATGTAACTATCTTCAATATCTTGAGGTGTACCCTTTTGGCAAGCTTCGAAATCACTTGAGGCTTGACACCAAGGCTCGGGCTCTTCATCACAAACTCATCCTTGAGTTCTTGATGGGTCTGCTGCACACACCTGCGACACGCCGAACGTTCGACACAGGACAAAATAGAAACCGCGCACGACAAAATAGAAACCGCGCGCGAGACACAAACGACCGCGTAACACGCGTCTAGCGATAACTCGCTATTGACTCGACACACACACTCGACATCATGACTCAACATTCACACACAATTATAAGCATGAAATATATATTATCCCATGCCCTCATACCATTCCATACACACACACATTCACGCACACGGACAACAAGCCGAGTGCAAACCGTAGGGTATGTTGCTCGGATTGTTGGCCTTAGGATATGTTGCTCTCTCAGTTCAGAGCCATCCCAGCCAGCTTGCAACACTTCCAATGCTGCTGCTCCACCAGCCTCTTGGTCATCATGTCAGCCGGCTGCCCCGTGGTCTTCACGTAGCGCAACTCAACTTCACCCGCGGTTACCATGCTCCTCGTCCAATGCCACTTCACTCTCATGTGCTTCGTGAGTCCATGCAACACAGGGTTCTTAGCAAGAGCAATGGCACCCTGGCTGTGACAGTACAGTGGGGTAGGTCCTTGCTGCTCCTCCCCCAATTCAGCCAACAAACGCCGCTGCCACACAATCTCCCGTACGGCACGGAAGAGTGCCATGTACTCGGACTCCACCGAGCTCAAAGCTTGGTCAACCTGCTTCTTGCTCTCCCAAGCAGTTGGGCCTCCACCAACACAGCATATGAAGCCTCCCACACTTGTCATGTCCTCTGGTTCTGATGCATATGAAGCATCCGAGTAGGCGGTGAGGAACAAACGCCCGGGTTCAACACCATCCGCGCCCTTTTGGCGCCTTTGTGCCGCCGCCGAGTATTGCAGCCCAGCGGTCGGTGTTTGGCCAAGATACTTGGCCACCCTCATTCCAGCTGCTACCTGCTCCTCATTAGGGCATTGCACAACCCTAGCCAGCTGCCCGGTAGCAAACGCGACGTCCGGTCGGGTCTTTACCGCCGCATACATGAGGCTGCCCACCAACGAGTGAAATCGGCGCCTCTCCTCTTCACCAACGCTCTCCTCCTCTGGTCCCTTCACACACTTGAACCCAGAGGGAAAGGGTGTAGCCACATGGCCTTCACTCTGCCCAAAGTTGGCAGCCAATGCCTCCAGGTACTTTCGTTGATGCACCCGCATGCACCGCTTCTCCACATCTCGTTCGATGTGGAGCCCAAGGTAGAAGCTCACGTCACCAAGGGCCTTGCACTTGAACTTGTCTTGAAGCTTCAGCATCACCTCCTTCACAAGGTCAGAAGAGGGTGAGAAAATGAGGATGTCATCCACATAAACCACCATGAAACTCCTCTGCTCCCCCTCGCCAAGCATGAACAAGGAGTGATCGGCCGTTGAGGGAGTGAAGCCGATCCCCTCCAACACTTCGCGCAGCTTCATGTACCATTGCCTAGGGGCCTGCTTCAGCCCATAGAGGGCCTTCTTCAGCTTCCACACTCTGCCACTACCATCATCAAACCCCTCTGGCTGCGCCATAAAAATCTCCTCCTCAAGGATGCCGTTAAGGAATGCCGTTACGATGTCCATTTGCTTTACTACCCATCCTTTGATGGCGGCTCCCGCGGATAGGGTTCGCAGCGTCGTCGGCTTCACCACAGGGGCAAACAGCTCCTTGAAGTCCACCTTCTCCTTCTGCTGGTACCCCTTGGCTACAAGCCTAGACTTGTAGCGCTCGATCTTGCCGTCGGCATCCGACTTGATTTTGAAGAGCCACTTGGACGTTATCGCCGTACGCCCCTCCGGTAGCTCCACCAATTCAAACGTGTCATTCTCCTCGATGCTCTTCAGCTCACTCTCCATGGCCTTCTTCCACTCCTCAGCATCACTACTCTCCAAAGCCTCCTTGAGAGTTGCTGGTTCTCCCGGCATCTCCACCGGAGAGAAGAACGCGAAGGCACACTCCTCGTAGTCACTCTCCTCGTCGTCTCCGACCATCATTGCCGCTCCGGCCAGGGCTGTCTTGCCCTGCTTTCCCGGCGCATCATAGGTCAGCCTATTAGGGGGTTGAACTCTCCTCTTCCCCCTTCCTTCCTCCTCAGCTGCAGGGACTTGAAGGCCTTGGCGTTGCTGCGGTGTGGCTCGAATCCGTGGAGCACTCGTAGTACGGGAAGGGAGTGACGGTGCACGCTCGCTCACTTGCTGCACCTCCTCCTCTTCTTCCTCTGCATCATTGGCCTCCTCTCCCC